CTCTTAGGATAGAACGAACGAAGTTTTGAAAAAATTCTGAAATTCGCACAGTTGCCTAGGTTCATGTGCTTATTATATTTGTGAAGCAAAATATTTTTTTTTCAGTTTCTTTTCTTTGAAACCAGTCCTTCGATTGTAGATATTGCTGAGGAAAACTAATAAGGCATGCAATGATGTTTTATTATTGGAAATGTCATCAATCTATTCCGGACTTATCTTTACAAGCGCGTATAATATTTGAAAACTAAGTCTCTTTGTAGAAAGTCAAGGCTAAAAATTAAGTGAAGCTCACTTCTCACAGCATCAATGATTTCCTCATCTCTGTTTAGCTTTTATTTATTTCGTCATCGAATGAAATCAACTGTCATGAAAAGACTTGCCGAATACGAGTTTTTTGCTAGTATGTGAAAATATTTCAGTATGATCTAGCTCTATTCAAACACGAGTGAAGAATCTTATATTACAACTCTTTGCAATCTCGACCTCTTTTTTTGTTAATAGAAATGGTTATGCTGGTAAAAGTTAAAGTAAGCACAGTCCATTGAAAAACTTGAAATAGATGTGAAACATTATCTGTTTTCTCTTGATTTGTATATTTTCTGATTATACACGAAACAGAAGAAGAAATACTCAAACTACTAGCGCTTGCTTAATTATCATCGAGTATCTGATGACCATAACAATTATTTGAAATAAAGAGAACTATCGACGGAGTTCATTGAAATAATTTATATTCATGTGACAACGAATTAGTTTAATTGTCAATTGATGATGGTGCAGATGACAGGAAAAATTCAAGTTGTACGGTTGATGATTCGGTAGAACATTGAAGATGATTGATATGATCGATAAAAGGAAATATTGATAGAATTTTACCATTGAGTAAAACACGTTCAACATAGATAATTTCTATTGAATTATTGTGAACAATAATTGTAAGTATACATTGTCCATTATTACGACGAATTGTAATACGATCAAATACAGAACTATCAATAAGATATGTTGATGAACTGGCTAGTGGATAAAAACCCATACTAGTAAATATATACCATGCTAACATTGTACCATGATCATCATTGCCTGGTATACCATCGGGTTTTGTTGTATAAACATGATCAAGTAGCCAACGTAAATGTTGTTGAGTAAGATCAGATCGATTGGCATAATGGAATTACCAAACAGAAAAAAAGATTATGTTCGTTTCCTGCCCAATAATATGGATTTGGTGATGTTGTTGTCGGCTATTCTCGACTATGAATAAAGAATGTATCAAGTTCTTGAGCAAAAAATTTTGGACCACCAAATAAATCAACAAGACGCGGTGTATTATGTGGTACAAAGAAACGATAATGCCATGCATCACCTTCCGTATAACGATAGTCGAATGGAATCAAATATTCAATTTCACTTGATGGACAAAGAATATTACCAGTACTATTTCGTGGACAGAAATTTTTTTTTGTATTTTCAAATATATTCTCAAACCATTGAGATCGATTATAATACTCTTGAGCTTCATCTATAAGACCTGCAGTATACATGATATTACCAATAGCCCAATCATCATACGCGTAGCTAAGTATAAGTGATGCCGAATATTCATCCATATCAAAAGGTACATATTGATATTTGATATATGTTGGTGGATCAAAACGGCTATCATGTTTTTGTACTTTATTGGCTACGATTCGTAATGCTTCTAAAACGTGAGTCATATTAAAATAAAGATCATGTTCATGTTTCATAATCAAATTACTTAATATAATATCGACATGTGAACCAATCATACAATTTGTATATCTATTCGCAAGTGGCCATTTAGGTAAATAACCACCTTGTTCAACAATGAGCATAATCGAATGAACGATATCATTAGCTCGTTTGGAATCATGTAAAATGAGAAATGGTACTTGTGTTCGAAAAATGTCCCATATGGATAAATCAGTATAGATATGATCCATATATTCGGAGAACAAGCGCTGTATTAAATTTAATTTCAGATTCACGATTCCATTCTGCAGTAACCTAATGAAAATTAACATACGTATAGTTACATTTGTCGTTGGTGTGATAAAAAATGTGTTTGTTCTTTTTTTCATGATCAATGAAACATACCTCGAATCGAGACACTTCATTGAGCCATTTTTGTTGTATAAATTCACGAATAGAATCAAATGATTCTAGTTTTGTTTGCATTTGTAAATTGATACGTACCTGTTCAATTGATACAAAACTAATACCAACATAAACTGTTACCTGTTGTTGATTAGCAAGTAGCATAACATAGACACCTGATGAACATCCATCAGCCGTTGTTTGTCTATTCATCAGACGACCTTGTGTCCAAACGCCGAAATCTATCCAATTCGTAAATGTAATGACAAAATATGTTGTTACACCGCCAAAAGCTCTCGAGAGAAATCCTTTAAAGAAAATTGAACCAGTAATTTCATTCTTGTTTGGATCAACATTCACATGACTCTGTCTGCAACCATCTAGAGGTAGTGCATAACTACTATCAATCAATATCATACAATGTTTTTCGTTGACATTATCAAATGAATATCGATGAACACCGACTTGTTCAGTAGCAGTTAATTCAACTTTGACTTTATGTGTGTCGAGATATACTTGATAAAAACCGGGCTCAATTCGTTCACTTTCATTTTTAAATGTACTTCGATAGCCATGCCTTTTCGCTATCATATGTTGTAAATTATCATCATTGTCAACTTGAATTGGAAAGACACCAACATTACCGTAATCTACAATTCCCGCATCAAACACATGCGTATGCGAAAAAATATTTATGTACGTATCCGTATAATGATAATCAGCATAACGATTAAGTAATACTGAAGTATCTTCTAAATTATTGTATCAGGACCGACACGAACTGTACCGTATAGAGTCTATGCACCCAGAGGTAAATTTGCTGTACCTAAAAAATTAACACTTGTACCTATGTACAAATCGAGCGGTGGAAATTTGTCAGCGGTAATTCTTGATATGAGAAGCAATAGCACACATCAACATTCGATCATATTTTATGCTTTCATATCAATCATCTCGCATTTAAATCTAATAGAATCATGAGAAATAAATCAGCTGATATGATTTTTTTGTGTTTCAAGACAACTGTTTTTTTTT